AAAAATTATATCAGGTCTTGTGCAATTTGCAAGATACAAAAGAGCACCAATCGCACTGAGATAGGGCACTTCAGGACCAAGGAGTTCTTCATCATCTTCTCGAGGACGAAAAGGATCTTTCTTGATGTCAAGTGATCGGACAACCATTGGGGAGATCAATGGATAGGCTTTATCCATATGAAAACGTTTCAGAATCTTTTCTGTATATGTTGATTGATGGATGAGAATACCGTTCGAAAAATGTTCAACCTGCAGGCCAAGGTAGAATTTTGTCTTTCTGAGATCTTTCATTTCAAATTCTTTCTTTAAATAATTGGCCGTCTTTTCGATCTCGTCCAATATTCCCACAAGGTTTAGATCATCAACATCTACTACAACAATAACAAAACCAGATTCTGATTTGTTAATAAAAATGCATGGACAAATATGACTGTTCACATACCCTTCTTTGAGTGAATAATCGCTAAGGCGATTATACCACATTCGTCCAGATTGCTTCAATCCATATAAGGATCGTTGTAATTTTATTGAGTGCATATTACGTGGTTTTGTTTCAGGCATTTTAAATCCTTCTGGGATTTTCATATAAATATCACTATCTAGTGATCCATATAAATATGCTGTAACCACGTTCATTAGATGCATATGCAATCTTTCTGTGACTGACAAGTATATTATGAATCTAAAAGTAGTTGCATCAATCACAGGGGAGTATGTTTCCTCAAAATCAGTACTAGGTCTTTGTGAGAAACCTTGAGCTACAAGTCGGGCTTTGTATCTCACGATTTCATTTTTCTCATTACGCTTTCGTACAAACACCCATTTGTACCCAACAGGATTAACACCCTCAGGTGTCTGGACTACTGATCCAAATACTTCACGTTTAGCTAATGAATTTAGCTCTACTTGTATCGCTTCTTTCCATTTTGGCCAATCATTTCTTCGTCGACATTCTTCAACGTTTTGAGGTTCCGGATCCTCATTTTCAATATCAAGAGTAACGAGATATGAGAATATGTTGTCGACAACAATTTCATTTCTATTCCATCTTGTTTCATAATTTAATGAGATCTCATCATTTTCAGGTACCTTTGCCTCATCAAGGGCATGTGCCTCATCAAGGGCCATATCATTATTTGTTGCTTTTGCCTCATCAATATTTATGATTTCATCATTTTTAGGTACCTGGACTCATCAAGAGCCTCTGCGTTATCAAAAGCTATTATCTCAGATTGATCAATAATATATGTTGCTCCTTTTGTGGCCTCTTCAGGAGTGCTAGCTTTTCTTTGTGATTTCCTCTTACAAGGAATAATATCTTTTGCACCGATTGGTCTACCACGCTTCAGGCGTGTTTTAGATGCATTTGCTGCATTACTGACAGAATGTCCCTCAGGGACAGCAATTTGTGCTAGCACATTTGCAGCTGGTATATGTGATTTTATCACTTTCTTTGTATCAGTAAATGCATCAGGTAATTGATTTGCAACATTTTGCAAGTGAATGATCCTTTGAACTTCTCGTTCACATTGATTTGTATGAGGATCAAAATGAGACAATTCCAGGGCATTCCAAGTAAGATCACGTTGCTGCTGTGCCTTTTCTCCCCCTAATGGTGGGAAAACAGTCTCATCAAAGTGACAGTCAGGAAATCGTGCTTTAAAGATATCACCTGTCAGGGGTTCAAGATATCTAATAATAGATGGAGAATCAAAACTAACATAAATTCCAAGTCTACGTTGAGGACCCATTTTAGTGCGTTGGGGTGGTGCAATTGGAACATATACAGCACAACCAAAAACTTGTATGTGGAAGATATTCCGTTGTTGACCAAAAACAAGTTGCAATGGTAAGTACTTATGATAAGCAGTTGGTCGTATACGAACTAATAATGCAGCATATAATATGGCATGACCCCAGGTAGAAATAGGTAATTTTGTTCGCATAAGCAAAGGACGACCAATTAGCTGAAGTCTTTTAATAAAAGATTCAGCCATACCATTTTGAGTATGAGTGTGTGCAACAGGATGTTCAACATTAATTCCAACTGACATGCAATAATCATCAAAAGCTTGAGAAGAAAATTCAGCGGCACTATCAAGACGACTTGTCTTAATCAGGTAATCAGGAAAATGTGCCCGTAATTTGATAATTTGAGTAAGGAGTCTAGCAAATGCAACATTACGAGTAGAAAGAAGACAAACATGTGACCATCGTGTTGATGCATCAATTAAGACCATAAAATAACGAAATGGTCCATAGGGTGGATGAATTGGCTCACATATATCCCCATGAATTCGTTGTAAAAATGGAGGAGACTCAACAATGACTTTTGAAGGGGATGGTCTGATAATCAACTTACCTTGTGAGCAGGCATTGCATAGATGATTATTTGGTAAGATGATTTTTTGATCCTTTAGTGGGTGACCATGTGAATTTTCAATAATTCAACGCATCATTGTACTCCCTGGGTGACCAAGTCGATCATGCCAAAGCATAAAAAGTTTTGGGTCACAAGATTTTTTATGGATTACAACATTTGACTCAATTGTTCTAATGGTTGTATAGTATAACCCAGAAGAGAAAACAGGGAGTTTTTCTAATATCAGCTTCTTACCTGAGGTAATGGAAGTAACATAGAGATATTCCACATTTTTTTCATTTGCAGTCTCAATATGATACCCATTACGACGCAAGTCTTTAAAACTCAACAGATTTCTCCGAGATCTTGTAGAATATAAGGCATCATTGATTTGTAATCTTGTTCTATGTGGTAAAATGATGTTGGCTCGTCCAGAGCCTTCAATCAAGTCGGTGGGACCTAATATGGTATTGACACTGGCATCTGACAGAATTAAGTGGGAAAAATATTTTTGATCTCGTAGGATTGTATGTGTTGTTCCACTATCTGCAAGACATATGTCTTCTCCATTTATATTTGAACTAGTCAGATCCATTCCTATTCATGCAAATTTTTTTATTAGAGAAGAAACTTTTATAACAAAATAAACTTTAATACAAACTAGAGGATAAAAACTTTAATACAAGGAAAATACAAGGAAAATAAAAACATAGTAGACAGAATATAAAAAGAAAATAAGATTAATTGGTGTGGACATTTCCATCACCAATCAGGAAGTTTATCCTTTCATCACGGTCCTCAAAAAAATCTGAAACATCCAGATTTGTAATGTTAACTGGCTCATCATGATTAATGAAATTCATTTTCAGATTTGTGGTGTCAATTGGCTCATCATGATCAAGGAAATTCATTTCCTTTTGTTTTCCCTTTTCTTTTATTGAGGCTTGGTAAAGTTCAGCCAGATGCTTAGGTGTACGACATATACTTTGCCAATGTCCTGTCATGCCACACCGATAACAAGTATTATCGTGTGCCTCGGAAGGTTGAGTCACATCCTTCCCTTTTACTTGTCTCATTTCATTATGATCTTTCCTTTGAGGATATGGTGTGGATCTCTGATTGCAAAAATGTGAGGATTGATATCCTTCACGATAATAAGAATGATTTCTATCACGACCATATTCATTATTGTGGTAGTTATTTTTGCCACGACCATATTCATTTCTACCACCACGACCACGTCCACGACCACCGGATGAGGCAACATATGTTTCAGGGATCGGTGTCGATCCAGTTGGACGGGACTGGTGGTTTCTCAATAAAAGTTCATTATTTTGCTCTGCCACAAGCAAACATGATATCAGCTCTGAATATTTTTTAAATCTACGCTCTCGATATTGTTGTTGCAAGAGTACATTCGAGGCATGAAATGTGGTGAATGTTTTTTCTAGCAAAAGTTCATTAGTAACAGTATCACCACATAATTTCAATGTAGAGCTGATTTTGAATAGAGCAGAGTAATATTCAGCCACAGTTTTAAAATCTTGCAACCTCAGTTGCAGCCAATCAGCCCTGGCCTTTGGGAGGATGACTGTTTTTTGATGATCATATCTTTCTTTCAAATTATTCCACAAACAAAGTGGATCTCTTTCAGTGAGGTATTCAGTTTTCAGCTCCTCACTAATATGGCGCCGGAGAAAAATCATGGCATTTGTTTTATCTTGCAATGATGCCTCATTGTTTTATTTAATTGTGTCACCAAGGCCCATGGTATTCAAATGGATCTGAGCATCTAGAATCCAAGATAAATAATTTTTGCCAGAAATATCCAGGGCCACGAATTCCAGCTTTGTCAAATTTGACATTTTCAGAATAACTAAATGTGACAACAATATAAAAATATAATTTAGTATATAAATAAAATGGAATTAAAATAAAATAATAACATAATATAAATGATTTAAACAACAATAATGGTCAATCTGGTCATTGTAAATAAATGATTAAACAATAAAGGCTGTAAAATCAGCCATAAAATATTAAATAATAAAGGTGGTAAGACCGACCATAATTAGTAAATTATTAAATAATAAAGATGGTAGAACCGACCATAGTGTAAGCATATATATCATTTAAGTGAACAACTTTATTTTACTAACAATAATCCATAATTAAAATTTCCTTACCCTTTAGGTTCAGAAATATTATTTTCTCCGATAAAGCAAATCAACCCAACAATCTATCAAAACTAATATCACAAAATAGATATATATAGTTGGGATAGAAAGAGGGAGAGAAAACTTTCTTCTTCAACTCTGAGATGGATAACTCGTGCCGATAACGTATAATAAATGTGTGAGAGTGTATATATATATATATATATATAGAGAGAGAGAGAGAGAGAGATTGCATAATGCTTTTTTTTATTCACAAACATACACCCACGCAGTACATATGTATGCCATATATATAGGTGTTGCACTTGGCTTTCCAAAGAAGCACAAATGAACTCTTCCCATGCAAGCTGTATATGGTGATGTCATGGATGACATACATATATTGTGGGCCCCACTTCCATTATATATACATACATAACAAGACTCGAATTTTTGTTTCAAAATTTAAAACTGCCACTAATTCAGTGATTACCCCAAAGTGAGCCCTAACAGCCGACTATGGTGGAGATGTCCATCTGCGCAGTCGTTCTCGACGAGCTCATGATTGACATACTGTCTCGACTGCCGGCGAAGTCTCTATGCCGATTCAAGTGTGTAGCGAAGTCATGGTTTGCTCTAATCTCGAGCCCTCATTTCGCCAAAACACACCTCAATCGGAGCAACAACAACAAATGCGAGAGACTCATTCTCTTTTCTGGTTGTTCACTTTACTCTGTGGACTGCACTGAAGCATCCTATAACGATTGTGTGACTGCAACAGAGATTGATTTCCCTAAGATCGAAGACCCACACTACTTCAAGGAAATCTTGGCTTCTTGCAACGGTTTGCTTCTAGTTTGCGAGGAAGAGGACACCAAGTTTTTGTTGAATCCATCAACTAGAGAGTCCAAGAAAGTACCAGATTATGATTTTGGGGTCGATCCATCTACTTGGAGCTGCATGTATGGACTTGGGTACGATTCTTCCATGGATGATTACAAGGTAGTAGCAGTTTTCTATTATGAAGATGAGGAATCATATTGTATAGACACATTTGTAGTTGTCCATTCACTCAAAACTAGTTCATGGACGAGGATTCAAGATTTCCCTTATGATATTTCTCTTGCCATGCCTTCCTCAGGTGTTTTTGTAAATGGGTCTATACATTGGCTCACCCACAGGTCTTCGGATCATTCACTTGTGATTGCTGCTTTTGATGTAGCAGAGGAGACATTCCGGGATGTTTTGCCACCTAGCTCACTTGAAGAGGATGAAATAACAAGTGGTGGTGGTTTGGGGCTTCTTGGAGGATGTCTCATGTGTCATGTATGGGGTGGTGCTAAGCAGGCTGATATTTGGGTGATGAAAGAGTATGGGGTGACCGAGTCTTGGACCAAATATACAATCTATATACCCAATAATATGTACCCTTTTTTCCCCATGTGTGTGTCGGATAAGGAAGTTCTGTTGAAAATGGAGGGAGATAAGGAAATGGGTGAAGATGTATTTGTTATATACAATGCTAAAGAACGAAGATTGAGGTGTATAACGGTGGATGGCATTCCACCGGGTAGCGTTGTCTCACCCTATTACCAGTCAGCGGTAACCTATGTGGAGAGCATTGTCTCACCCTATTTCCACTGTGGGATTGATAGAAAAGAGTTATCAACTATGACTGATGCTAGTTTGGCTCACAACAGGTTGTTAATGCCGCCACTGGACCAACTCATCCTGACTGATGAAGAGAAAAAAGTACTGATATTATAGGTAAGTATATTGTTCTATTCTATGTTTTGCTGATTAAGTTAAGTATATTCATATTCTGTGTCATCATCATCCTTGCCATATTCTATATGCCACCATTTTTGTAGAATTTTTGGTATCGGCATGACTATTTACTTGTTATTGTTTCTTGAGTGATATAGTTTCTAGTTGAACGAGGTTGAACTAAATTGTAAGGTACAATGTCATTGAAAGTGGATTTTTTCTATCCAAGTTGTAAGGTACAATGTCTTTGAAAGTGGATTTTTTCTATACAAGTGGTGTGGGTCCATTTAACATGGTAAGTGTTAACAACTTATTACTATAAAAGTTTAAGTTGTTGGAGAGGGTGTAATTTAAATATTTAAATCATTCAACATGATCCCTCATATGTGGCAGAGACCTAGTTTTGGTCCAACACGTGTTTCAATTTTAAATCAGGTGACTGTGAGGTTTGAATACATGACCTACCTAATACCATGTTAAATAAAATAAAAGATTAAAGAGAAAATTAAGTTTTAACAACACAAGGACTAGGAGCTACATTTACGACTCACAAAGCTCAAAGGGCTACATCACTTTAATTATATTCTGTTTACAATGATCACTTATAATTATAGATGAAATAATACAAGTGATAAATATAGAAAATACATTGATAAATGATTTTTAAATCAATCCCATAAATCACTTCAATCGTGATATTCTCTAACACTCCTCCTCAAGGTGGTACACAGAGATTTTAACTTAAGTTTTCAACTTGAAATAAAATACAAAGTTATCGTGACAAATTGAATAATTATCACCATTGAGATGCTGAGAATGCTAATCTTCAATTCTTGTACCAAAGAGACATATAGAGTTCAATTGAGACACTATTTTTGGTCTTCTCAGTTTTAATTTTGGTTGTGCCAATTTTCTAGTTGAATTGTGTAAGAAACCTTTCTACCTAATTCTGAAGATATTGTTAATATTTAGATAAAGTTGTTAGGCTCTCTATGAGTTATCGGTTTGGTTATAGAAAATAATATAAGATATTCCATTATGGCCCTAGTAGTTAGAATTCCACACCTGATGGACCTATGGTAGTAGTTTCTTCAATGTTTGCTTTGTTGCAAATTAAACCACGAGAAGAAGTGTCTTTTTGCTAATCTAGCACTTAACGAGTGAATTCCTTAAGTGTGTGTGAGTGTGCAAGCTGAGTGGAGGGCTTAAGGCACTGCAATACTAGTAGGAGACACAAGTGGAGTGTTTTGGCATGAGCAAGTGTGGGAGACTAGTTAGGTTGGCCAAGGCCTTGCGAGTGTAGAAGCAACGCCTTGGTGCCGCACGGGTGTGGCTGGAGTGGTGGAAAAATTCTAGGGTTAATTTAATAATTGACATGTTTTGAAGGGCTAATTAAAAATATGACATATACGAAAAAGAATATTTGTATAAAGCAATTTCACAAAAGTAATTACCAATACAGGAATCATACAAATATGGTCCAAAATGCCCCTCAGCCCTTTAAACATTTCCATCCATCTCCTCTTCCTCCACCTCACCCCTTCTCTCTCTATACTCAGTCTCTCTCTATACACATATACAACATCACCACCACCACCATCCTCTCTAGCAAGAAATTCCAGCCAACCAACACCCTTTCTGGCGGAAAGTTCCAGCGAACCAGAATTGCCACCACAACTAATGATCTCTTTCTCCCTTCCATTCTCTCTGGCAAGACATTCCGGCAAACCACCGCCACCATGAAACCGTCATGAACCACCACCACCCACTACACAACCACCACCAAGATTGCCTTTACCTATGAAATCACCCCAATTCAAATACCATTACTCACATTAACAATGTTCTGTATTCATATCTAGGCTATATATATTACTATCTGATACCAAACACAACATCGCTTGTATTGAAATTTACAGATAAAATTGAGCTGGCTTGCATTGAAATTTATGGATCATATTGAGCCGACCTCGCTTTCTATGAAAGATTAAATTTGTAATAGAGAGCCCTAAATTTTGAGAAATCTGATCGACCTCCGGTGATTTCATTTCTCTGATCTAATTATTTTCTTCTCCAAAAGCTTTCGCTGATCATATCACCATTGTTGATCCTATCACCATTTTCCGATTGTATCACTATTGTTGATTGTTCCCACGCAAAATTAAAACATTAGCATATCATATATATGCCATGATTATTTAAAAAAAATTAGTAATTATAAAATTAACAAAAAGAACAAGTATTCATACAGTTCTGGCGAGGAAGAGAGCAGACTCAGTTCTGGTGCTAGAAAACCCTTTAAAGATGACCAAGAAATATTTCTGCAAAATCAAAGTTCCACCGCAAACTAGTAACTCAGGTAAGCCTTAAAACTGTATATGATGAGTTCTCAATTTTTTGGCATCTAAATAACATCATATTTCTGTAATGGATCAACAATATATATCAATGTATATGTATAATGTAAATTTAATAGACAAATAACATTTCTTAGAGCTTTATCACATATTCATGAGACGGAGAACAGGAAATGCCAGACCAGTCACAAGGACCTGCATCTAGGGAATTCCAATTTGATAAAACCAGAAGTGGGTCCTCAATGGAAGTGAATTTGTCTCCAGTAAAAAGCAAAAGCAAACCCAGATCAGAGTTATAAATGAAGTTGATCGATTTCGTGCCGATGTATCTGACGGAGGCGTCTTGGTTCATTCATCACAGCATGGGGCTCTTCTGAATCGGGCATGGCTGGTTCAAGTTTGACCCAGAAGAGAGAGAAAGTAGTGGACGGTGGGTGGGCGGGGTGGATGGCTTCAAAGGTGATAGCAGAGGTGGTTGTACCTTCACGTTGGCAAAGAATGACCCATTAGTGAGGTCCAAAGCTCCATTGATTCCGATGAATCTGTTGTGGCTAGAGCCAGAACGGTTTAGAAAGCAAATTAGGGCTTCAGATTGGAAAGTTTTGGATGGGTTGTATGGTGGTGGCGGGTGGTGTTGGTGTCATGATGGGTTTTATGGCGGTGATGGTCGATGGGTTGTATGGTGATGGTGGTGGTGGTGTATATGTATAGGTGTGTATATATCAGCCAGTGGGTGGTGGTGGTCCTGTGTTGGTGATGGTGGTGTATATGTAATTATATATAGGTGTGTATATTTAGAGAAAGAGGTGATGAGGAATTCTTAAAAAGATAGGGGTAATTTTGTCCTAATTGTATAAATGCTTGTCAAATATAAAAGTGTTGTGTATAAGTTTCATATTTGTAATTACTTTGTGTTGAATTGCTTTATACCCTCATTTTTTTTCGTCATGTCATATTTTTAATTTACCCCTCAATACTTATCAATTTTTAAATTAACCCAAAACTCCAGACCCATGACAGTTGGTATTAGAGCAGGCTTACATGCGCGTGAGAAGTGCGCCTGGGTACATCGGCGATAAGGGTGAGCGTTGGAGGGAGACGACGTGTGGAGGTGACTCAAAGTGCTGCCAAGGTCGGACCCTATTGGGTAAGTGCACGAGGGAGCTGCATAAGAAAGTGTTGGAGGCCGTGCTAGCAGGAGGCTGGGAAACTAGGACTCGAGGGGAGTCGTTTAAGGCACGAATACATAGTGACGAATTTGTCACGCTCGAGAGGAGTCCCTATGTTGAGCTGGTGGCAGAGGAGTGAAGACTAGGTTTGGGAGTGCACCTCCTGTAGTGGCGATTATAGCTGGAGAGGTTGCCAAATGAGACAGGAGCGGCGAGAACAGAGACGTTGTGAATGGAGTTGTCTCGTGCATGATGGCAATCACGACTGGTTAGATTGCCCTAGGAGGCAGAGGTTGCTAGAGCAAGTGGGCCATCAAGTGATCTGTCTATTATGTGCAGGGGCGCATAGCGTGCTAGAGTGCCCTGGGAGGGCCACATTGCTAAAACCAAAAGAGGAGGAGGTTCCGGAGTCTATGCCCGTCATGCAAGAGTGCATGAGAGAGACGCGGGAGGAGGGCCACGTGGGGGAAGGCATGTTGAGTGAGACTATGCCAAGCAAGGAGGAGAGCTTGCCACCCACTTTCGCGGCCTTGGGGAGGAGGAGCTTCCTATAGATGAGCCCAACTTGCAGGAATGCATGGGAGAGCTACTAGAGGAGGGCAACATGGGAGTAGGCATTGGAGGAGAGTCTGTGTCAGTCTAGGAGTCCTTGCCGCCCGCTAAGGAGTTTGTGGGTAACTTTGAAGAGGAGAAGACCATGAGCATGGAGTTGCTCATGGAGTGCATTGGATAACATATGGGGGAGTCCATGGGAGTCATGCACGGCATTCAAACGACCTTAACCTTCATGGAGTCAACAGAGGAGTTGTACCCTTTGCCAGTAGAAAGCGTGCAAAGGGTTTGCAAGGCCAGCGTCACAGGGAGGAGTCATGACAAGTGTGGGGGTTGAGCTACAAAACGAAGACGAGGGGGGTGGTGTGCTGAGGGATGCTGCGAGCAGGAAGCGCCCATGCGAGGAACGAAGTGCAGAGACAAGTTGAAAACGGAGGAGACATGTGGCAGTAGTACCTCGTCAAGTGGAAGGGGTTTCAGACAAGTTTGCACGAGAAGCATTGAGACTGTGACAAAGGTGTTGCAGGAATTGGGTGGGGGAAAATGTCACGCCCCACCTAATTTCAGGGAGCTAACGACACGCAGGCAACTCATGTGCGCTAATGAGGCGTCTGTATGGCAAGAGAAGAGTAGAGTATAGTAAAAGTTCTAGAATCTTCTGGAATTGTGTAGAGAGTTGTGAAGTATTGTGGAGAGGGTTGGAAAATTCTAGATTGTTGGAGAACTTGTAAATAGTTGTAGAGAAGTAAAGAAGATTCTAGAACAGTAGAGAGTTTTGTAGGGTGTAATTATGTAGGGCATGAATGTAGAAGTTCTAGAGAGTAGGAAGGAGGCCTATAAATAGGTGATATGGTCATGTATGATCAGCAAACTTTGGAGTTAGAGAGCCTTGTACAACACTTGAGTAATAATAGAAGTATTATTCCTCTTGCCAACAATTGCCTAAGGGTATGTGAATGCCCAAGTGTGTGTTGAGTATGCAAGCCGAGTGGAGGGCATGATGCACTACAACACGAGTGGAGTGTGTTGGCACGAGCAAGTGTAGGAGTTAGGCTGACCAAGGCCTTGTGAGAGTAGAAGCAACGTCTTGGTGCCGCTTGGGTGTGGCTGGAGTGGTGGAGAAACTCTAGGCCCGTGACACTTAGGTTAATTTAAATTGCAAAATTCAGAAAACCTAAGACTTTATGTTTTTATATTTATTTTTTAATTTTAGTTTGTAATTTATTTATTTAGATGCCTTAGTCTTAGTTACGAGAATCGTGATGAAATTATGAATCAATTTAACCATGTTGGACGTATAGTATCTAGATAGTCACAAATGGTCAAATAATTTTAAGTTTAAGTTTATTTATTTTCTATTAGTGGTGAATTCTTTGAATCACACACACACACACTCTGATGCACACATATATGTGATATGCCTAAGATGTTGAGTTAAGCATGAATAGAAATTGACTCATTAAGAAAGAGGTCTTATGTCATATGTTCTAGTCTATGAAAAGAAAATTGTGTGAAAAGAAGCACTCAATAAAATAATTGCAATTTTTTCGTGAAAATGGCTACTTATGGGATTTGTCCGAAGCTACCAAGACTCGAAGTACATAATGAAAATCATAATTTGACTTAGAAGAGAGTTGGTTGCTCACTAGAGTGAAAGTTGTCCTGGAACAGAGAAAAGAAGTATGAAAAACATAGTCAATACATTCTTTGAACTTCTGTTCTTTCAGGCGAAATTTGTTTTTATTTCTTAACGCAAATTAGTCTTTGTTGATAGTACTAATAAATTTTATATGAACAAAACTTTGAACTGCGGTAATAATCTTTTGTTTTTATAGAAGTTTGAAGATCACGAAATTCGTGGGTTCTTGATTGGTGTGAATTGGTTTAATTTTCATGATTGGCTTGATTGGGTACGAGTCCGGCATGATATAGGTTTTTATATCCTTTTAATTTTTGATTTATATATATATATATATATATATTTGTTTCTTTTGCTTTTACTGTGGAAGGGGGGTGATGAAGAAGAAGTAAAAACTAAATTTGACACACAGGAATTTTGAAGCTCCTTTTTTACTGCATGCCATTTTATTTAAATCGTAATTGAGTATATTATTTAAGAAAAGTAGCATCAACATTCGACTATTTATAGAACAAATAATGTATTTAAATGCATAGCACGTCTCTGTACCCATATCCAACTTTGGACACATTTGTATATGTCCTAAGATTTAGCATTCGGAAATCCGACACATGCCCAAACCTGTTAATTTTTCTGATAATTGAGCTACACTGTTGTTTGACTACTGCATTCGATATTTCTTTAGAAAGTAAAATGTCTAACTGTTCATACCACCTTGGTTTCTGGTGAAATTGCAGAACCGTCTGTCTGTATTATGATAACTGTGAACAGGTGAAAAATGATGATGAGTGTGTTGAACAATACACATGCAAACTTCTAGCCAACCTTTTGGATACATACAACATATTAAAATTCCTCATCGAGTTATTATTTTCACTGTAGAATTTGATAATGTATGAGAAGATTGTGAATTGCTTGTGTAGTGTAGTTGAGAATTATGTGAGGATTAAGAGCAAAAGAGTGTTAATTAATATACACACGCACACACACACGAACCATTTGATACAAATATGATATAATTGGACACTGCGATTTTAGAAGCATCTTTTTTTGTGATGAAGATGATATATATTTTATCTTGTATCTTTTTCTTTCTTTATTTTTTTGTTTCTTTTCAAATTATTGACTGATTTCTGTCATAATTTTGTTGATGTCTTGTACATCCGAAATTGGTTTAACTGTCAATAGGTGGAAAATGATGATGAATGTGTTGAACAATACACATGCAAACCTCTAGCCAACCATTTGGATACATTTAACATATTAAAATTCCTTATGGAGTTGATTATTTTCACCAATTATGAGGCATTTGATAATGCATGAGACTATACTTCTTGTGCAGTGTAGTTGAGAATTTTGTGAGAATTAAGGGCAAAAGAGTGTTAGTTAATATAAAATCTAACCATTTGATACAGATATGATATAATTCGACATTGCCATTTTAGAAGCATCTTATTTTTTTCGTGGTGGTGATGATGATTTAAAGATGATGCATGTCATTATTTTGTTGATGCCTTGTAAGAAATAGGAATGCCTGCAATAGGTGGTTACCAACGGCCCAAAATTCAACTTATTTGCAGATTAATTGTTTCAAATTGACTTGATCTAGTGTTTTCTACACAGCATCCAAGGTACAACTCAATCATTGAAAAACTGAAGTTCGACAATTGGGGCCAGCCATCATGGGATGTTACTAAAAGCTTAGAACAACGCCCTTTAATCCTTGTTTCTTCCTTTTTTGAATTAGATGAACTAGCCAAAGAACCCAAAAACTATATAATCTCTGTACAAAGGTTTGGATTTCGTGTGCGGATTATCTGGATATCTTTTCTATGTTTGTTATCCATTTGATATTCCTTGTTTTCTTTCATTTCTCGATTTATAGAGAACTAAACTAAGATATCCATATGATGATATTTTAGGAGAATGCATGTGTGGATCTACATAGGTCTCTTTTAAACTCTGTTTCATTTGCAAAATGTTTCTGTGGTTGTCTTTGATCAAACAAACAATCTTTTGGTTATGGAATTTTACTTAATGGTTGGAGCATCTTGACCCAGGACAGAACAATTAGTGCCAAAGGCAAAAAGATATAAACTGGATTCAAGTTCAAGGTCAAAGAGCATTGAGGTTTCCAGTTTCATCACTGATTATACTATATCAGATTGTTTGGATTACCCCAAGTCCATTGGGATTCTTGAAAGGCCTTGAATATTTTTGCGGATCCATACAATAAAGAAAACATTCATCGGTAGGGTTGACAAAAGGAAAAGTTATTGGTTATATATATATATATATATATATATATATATATGTATATTATTTTTGTAGTCACACACACTTTTGGCTACACTAGGCTCGAACCCCTCCCCTCCCCTCTTCTCTTCTTTGAGGAAAAGGTCTTGGTTGTGGAGCCTTAAGTGATTGCTTTGGTTCTACCATATTGAACTTACCATTTGTTTTTCTTCGACAATGGTGGTATCATGCCACTTAGATATTTCTTGAACTGAAGTTCTATTGTTTTTCATATTGAAGTTATATCATTTATTTTTTTAATTTGAAGTTCTGTCATGTTCATGTAGTGAATATAGCAGTTTTGTTTGATGATGTAGCGGATTTCTATTGCTTTTCGTGTTATAGTATAGAAAGTGGTTTGAGGTGCTGCATCTCTCTCTCTCTCTCTCTCTCTCTCTCTCTCTCTCTCTCTCTCGTTTGTTTTCCTTGTCTTCTTTGATTTAATATGTTATGCTAGTTGGAATGAGGCAAATAGAGGCATAAGTATTCTGGCTTGTTCTTCCTGAAACTTCTTCTCATTTAACGTTTGTACCACGTGCAATACGTGTTTATGAAGCCTTATTTTATTTTATTTATTTATTTAATTTTTTTGTTTTTTGTGGAACAAGTTTCTAGTCTAACGTATAATGTATTTAAATGCATAGCACGTCTCTGTACCCATATCCAACTTTGGACACATTTGTATATGTCCTAAGATTTAGCATTCGGAAATCCGACACATGCTCGAACCCATTAGTTTTTCTGATAATTGAGCTGCACTGTTGTTTGACTACTGCATCCGATATTTCTTTAGAAAGTAGAATGTCACTGTTCATACCATCTTGGTTCCTGGTGAAATGGCAGAACCGTCTGTCTGTATTATGATAACTATGAACAGGTGGAAAATGATGACGAGTGTGTTGAACAATAGTACAATACACATGCAAACTTCTAGCCAACCTTTTGGATGCATACAACATATTAAAATTCCTCATCGAGTTGATTATTTTCACCGTGTAGAATTTGATAATGTATGAGAAGATTTTGAATTGCTTGTGTAGCGTAGTTGAGAATTATGTGAGGATTAAGAGCAAAAGAGTGTTAGTTAATACACACACACACACACACACAAACCATTTGATACAAATATGATATAATTGGACGCCGCAATTTTTGAAGCATCTTTTTTTGTGATGAAGATGATGATTTAAAGATGATACATATATTTTATCTTGTAACTTTTTCTTTCATTAATTTTTTGTTTCTTTTCAAATTATTGACTGATTTCTGTCATAATTTTGTTGATGTCTTGTACTTCCGAAATAGGAATGCCTGCAATAGGTGGTGGTTACCAACGGCCCAAAATTCAACTTATTTGCAGATGTATTGTTGTAAATTGACTTGCTCTAGTGGGTTTCTACACAGCATCCAAGGTACAACTCAATCATTGAAACTGAAGTTAGAGAATTGGGGGCCAGGCATCATGCATGGGATGTTACTAAAAGCTTAGAACAATGCTATTTAATCCTTGTTTCTTCCTTGTTTGAATTAGGTGAACTAGCCAAAAGAACACAAAAACTATATAATCTTTGTACGAAGGTTCGGATTTTGTGCGCGGATTATCCAGATATCGTTTCTATGTTTGTTAGCCATTTGATATTCCTTGTTTTCTTTCATTTCTCGATTTATACACAACTAAACTATGATATCCATACGATGATATTTTAGGAGCATGCATGTGTGGATCTACATGGGTCTCTTTTGTACTCTGTTTAATTTGCAAAATGTTTCTTTGGTTGTCTTTGACCAAACAAACAATCTTTTTGCCTTTGGAATTCTAGTAAATGGTTGAAGCCTTTAGAGCTAGGATAGATATATAGACTGGATTCAAGTTCAAGCTCAAATAGCATTGAGGAGGTTTCCAGCTATATACCTATCACATTGCTTGGATTGCCTCAAGTCCATTGGGCTTTTAGAAAGGCCCATTTACAAAAAGGCATGTTCGAGGGTTACAAAAGGAAAAGGTTTTAGATTTTTTTTTTTTTTTTTTATCAGGTACTCACACACACTTTTGCCTATGCGGGGTTCGAACCCCTGCCCTCTTCGAATGTATTGGTTGTGGAAGCCTAAAGTGTAGCTTTGGTTTTACCATATTGAAGTTGCAGTCTCGAAGATATTCCTTTGATTGAAGTTCTATTAATTGCTTTTCATATTGAAGTTGTGTTATGTTTTTTTTTTTTTTTTTTTTTGAAGTTGTCATGTTCATCCAGTGAATATAGCAGTTTTGTTTGATGATGGCACAGATTTGTATTATTTTTAATGTTATAGCATAGTAACATCTGATTCAGGGTGGCAATTCGTGTTGACGGATTGTGTTCGTGTCAACACGATTACGACACGAACACGATACGATTTTTATACGTGTAACAGAACACGACACGTGTAACCCGTTTAATAAATTGGTTAAGACTTGACACGACACGATATGACATGAAAAAACATATTTAAGTCATTTTTGACACAATTACGAAACATTTATTCTATACGTTTAACTAAATAGGTTATTTTTTACATGAATACGACACGTTTAGTTAATCGTGTTATAATCGTATTTGATATATATAGTTAACGGGTCAATTCGTATCGACACGATTACGACACAAACACGATTAGTCTAAATTCAAATCCTCTTATCTCGTGCTGTGTTAGCGTATTGTGTCAAATATTGTCACCCCACACCTGAAGGGAATACTGAGTCTCTTATGTTGGTTTCTTTTTCAGAAGAGAGAATTTTCTAAACCGTTTTTATATAACAAGTGCTCATTTTCTGCATCTCTCTTAAATTTTTTTCTCTTTGTTTTCTTTGTCTGAATAGTAACACGTGCTCATTTTCTGACTTGTTCATCCTCAAATTTACGTTTTGCGACACGTGCATTAATACATGTTAATGTAGCCTTATAATTATTTTTATTTTTTAAACAATTTATTTATTTTGGGTTCAACAGTGACAACAAAAAAAAGTGCAACGAATATGAGCTAATACATGTTAATGTAAGCTCAAGGGGACAGTAGAATGGGCAACTAGATTTTTTTGAGGTTTTATGCGACTCCAGATGATGCCACCTCAGCATCTCAATGGAGCATAATGGGAGATTTTAGTTGCTATATCCTTTACCGTACTGAAAATTTGGGTGGTAGAATAAGGACTGCTTGGACTAATTTTTTATTTTTATTATAGGAATATTGCACTATACATGTTCACGGGTTATGCCATTCTATTCGAATGGTCAATTCTATTTACTTAACCGAATTATATTCCACCTTTAGATGCATTATGGTGGATTCTATTAGAAAAGCCTGAAGGTTATAAATGATTTGGTTAAATTATTGGGCTCAACTATTTATTTGGAAAATCATTTCGGTGATATTACATATCTTTTAACACAAATTTATGTACAAATACAATTAAATATTTTGAAATTATAGCAAGCTCTTATTTTTTAAAGGGAGATCAAGAGTTCGAACCTCAGGCATGTGTGTGTAAGTATCAATTAAGAATAAATAAATAAATAAATAAAAATGTGTTGCTAGAGTGGTTTGTGTTTTTTTTATTTTATTTTGAAAAGTTATAGTGGTTTGTGTTGTTTAAATTGTTTCCCACCTTGATTAATTTTAATATACATGTGAATGGAATAAATAGTACTTTGCTTCATCAATTAATTTTTACTAATGATGTTTCTTTTAGGGTTCACTTATTATTATTATTATTATTATTATTATTATTATTATTTTCGGAAAATCAAGCAATTTTTATATATTTGAAGGGGGTAAGTGCAAAAAATACCCCTGTTCTTTTAAAAAAATTGCAAATAATACCCTTATTGTTCAAACGTCACCCTTGTAATTTCAAATAGTGCAAACAAGGGCTTTTTGTTAGAGGGATAGATAAATATATGAAAATGCCCTCTAATATTCTTTGTACAATAATATTAAAAAATTATTATAAGTTGAAATTACCCAAATAGACACTCATTTAAACGGCGTCGTTTTGGGTATTAGGTAATGAAATCTTATTTCTCTTAGATTTAATTGTTTTTTTTGGTGAATTTCTCGCTCTTTTCTTAACTCATCGGTGTTCATGGTGAATGAGGGTTTTCATTCAAGACGCCTTTGTCCCTCGGCCTCGCCGTTCTCCTCATCGTCCTCCTTGCCGTTGACCACTACATCATCAACCATCGCTGCCGACCCCCACATTAAGAAGTGCCGAGTGAGACACGGTCAAATCATCAAGATCAAAGGTAGAGACAAATATGGCTGCAAGATCCTTCGTATCCTCAGAAAATTCTTCCCTTGTAATTTTTGAACCCCAAGGGTGGTATCTTTTCTCTTTCCTTGTAAAGATTTTGAATGTTGTTCATCTACACGTCTATATGTTGCAGATTATTGATTTCACTCCTTGCTTCTCACAATTTCTTTATTTTGTATTCACTTATGTTGATCAAATGTCTTTAATTGAAAAGTATGGGTCGCGAATTATTATTATTTCTGCTTTTGATGTCTGCCAATTTTACATTTAAAGGTTTTTGTTGAGGAACTAGTTCCGTTGTTGTTGGTGAGCATAGATAAAAGTCATTTGGCTTAAATCAAGTACTAATATATTATTTTGCCAAACTACAATTCCAAGGACAATTTTGTAGAGGTTTTCAGAGACCCATGTTGAGAAATCGAGGCTTTTGGCCTCAAAGAAGCGATTTGGATGTAGAGTTGGGAGTGTTCTGTTGTGGGTCTTTGCGGATTTTGAGGTTAAACGGTCTTGGACCAACATTGAATCTGAACACTGAAACTTCCCACTCTCTATAGTCCACACTTGTGAATCTCTTTTCCTCACATTATTTTGAGGTTGAACGGTCTTAGTATTATTATTATTTTTTAACTATTTAAAGAGTTATATGAATCTTATTTTTTCATTCCATTTTATCACGGCATCAGTCAAAAATCATTTTGAGAATAA